AGGTGGCTCAGTGGTAGAGTGCTTGCCTTGCATGCATGAGGCCCTGGGTTCGATTCCTCAGCACCACATAAGCAGAAAAAGCTGGAAGTGGTGCTGTAGCTAAGTGGTAGAGTGCTAGCCTTGAGTTGAAGACTGAGGGACAGCGCCCAGGCCCAGAGTTCAGGCCCCACGACTGGCAAAAAAAAAAGTGGGGAAAAAAAAAAGTAGTGGCTGGGAATATGGCTTAGTGGTAGAGTGATTGCCTAGCATGTGTAAAGCCCTCAGTACAGAAAAGGCCAGAAGTGGTGCTGTGGCTCTAGTGGTAAAGTGCTAGCCTTGAGCAAAAAAAGCTCAGAGACGGTGCTAGCAAAAAAAAAAGAAAAGAAAAAAAAAGTAGTATCTATATTACTAGATTATTATGAGAACAAGATCCTCATTTGATTGATACATGTATATAAAGCAAGCAATAAGGCTTCTGGCATAAATACACAAATAAATGGGAGCTATTACTACTGGCCCACATATTGGAATATTCAGGATAATTTGGACCAAAGATCACATGACATTTTTTGTGTGCCCGCGCCAGTCCTGAGGCTTGAACTCAGAGCTTGGGATCTGTCCCTGGGATCTGAGCCTCTCTGTAGTTCCACCACTTGAGCCACAGCACCACTTCTGGCCTTAGTTCTGTTTACATGGTACTGAGGAATAGAACCCAGGGCTTCATGTATGCTAGGCAAGCACTCTACCACTAAACCATATTCCCAGCCCTACATTTTTTTTTTTTTTGAGACATGGCTGTATGGTGAGATACTGGATTTTCTTTTTTCTTTTTTTCCCTCAAGTGACAGTACTGACATTTAAAGTCAGGGCCTTTAATTCTTGCTTGGTTTGTACCCACAGGTAATACTAAACCAGTTGAAACATCTCTACTTCCAGCCTTTTGATGATAATTAGAGATAAGTGTCTTCCAGGGAAGACACACACACGCACACACACACACCTTCTTCCCAGTCTCAAAGCAATCATGATCCTGGCTGGCTACACTTTCCAAATGCTCTTATAATCTTTCTTACCCATTTAATCTCTCTTTACATGTCACAGTTCAGTCGAACCTTTTGGCCAAGCTTGAAGTAAGGCCCCGAACTACAGTCCACCCAACTTAACGCAATCCTTTCTGTTTTTGCATCCCCACTTCTTTCTCGCAAAGCGTTCATCACCAGCTGTATGTGCTTGTTTATCAACTATTAGGTAGGATGTCAGCTCCCGGAAAGCAGAGATTTTTTTTCTTGAATACTTTTTTTTTTTTTTTTTTTGGCTCTGGCATACTGAGTGTGGTACGCCAGAGTGAAATAAATGGATATTTATTGAAAGACAGAATGAATGGCAGAAAGCGAGAAGTCAGCTTGGGAGAAGAATCTTTTTGCCCAGAAAGGCGAGATGGGAAGAGGCAGGAGAAGCCAGCTGGGTTGGAGGCTGCACGGGGGGGAACAGGAGTTTCCCATCTGCGGAAGCAAAGACACCGCACAGACAGGGGACCGACCGTGCGTGAGGTGGGCGGAGGGACACCCAGGCACCGGGACCAACTGTGGGAGGGGTGGTGGGGGTGAAGGCAGGCCTCTCTGCCCGGCCCCGCAGCTCTCCCCCGACCCCCTCCCCACCCCGCGGCGCCACCGAACTTAACTCTCGGGCCGAATCCCGATAAGAAAATAAGCAACATGTTTGACAAACGGCCATTCCCGCCGCCCCCGCCCCCCGGCAAGCCAGGGCCTGGCTCCCCAACCCGTCCCGAGCGCGTCGCCCCACCCCCGACCCGCCGGGGGTCCCTAGCGACCCCCCTCACTCACGCTTGTCGCCGAGCTATGAGCCGATGCATGGGAGTCGCCATGATGTGACGAGGAGAGCCGCCGCAGGGACTCTTGGGAAACTCCGTGGAAGGGGGCGTGGTCCGCGAGGCCGGGCGGCGCAGACGTGGGCGGGGCCGGACGGGGCCCCTGGCAGCCCAGGGAAGAATGAAACCTGCCCTGGATAGTGCTCTGATAGCTAGGAGTCTGGAGAACAAAATGAGTTAAGCAAGACTCAGGCCATCAGTGGAGAGAATTTTTTTTTTTCAGCAAAACATCCAGTACAGCATGTTAATTACTTCCGTTTATTTCTTAGTGTCAGTCGGTGGGGCCTGAACGCTGGGCCTGGGCGCTGTCCCTCAGTTCTTTAGCTCAAGGCTAGCACTCTACCGCCTGAACCACAGCGCCACTTCCGGTTTTCTGGTGGCTTATTGCAGATGAGAGTCTCACAGACTTTCCTGCCCGGGCTGGCTTTGAACCATGATCCTCAGATCTCAGCCTCCTGAGTAGCTAGGATTACATCTGTGAGCCATCGGCGCTGGGCTTCCTTTTATTTATGTTTTAAAAATGTGTACTTCATAAGGGCCACACGAGACTATGTAAAGTACAGATACTTTGTCAAGTGAAAAAAAGGGCTATTCAATTATTTTAGGATACTTTAGCTGATATTTGCTGTCAGCTCATAAAAATTATTATATATGGGGCTGGGATGTAGCTCAGTGGTAAAGCGCTTGCCTAGCAAGTGCAACGTCCTGGGTTTGATCCCCAGTACCAAAAAAAAAAAATTATTATATATATATATATTTTTTTGGTAGGTTGTGGGGCTTGAATTCAGGCCCTAGGCACTACCTTTGAGCTCTTTTGCTCAAGGCTAGCACTCTACCACTTTGAGCCACAGCACGAATTTAGGTTCTCTGGTTGTTTATTGGAGATACTGTATTTTCCTGCCCAGGCTGACTTTGAACCGTGATCCTCAGAGCTCAGTCTCTTGAGTAGCTAGGATTAAGGTGTGAGCCACCAGTGGCTAGCTCCTATCTCATATTTTCGTGCAGCAAGAAAGTCTTTACCACAAGCCTGGCAGATGCAGTGTCATTCTCTTAGACTTACCAATAACAGTAAGTTAAACTTATTTTTCTTTTTTTGTTGGTTATGGGGCTTGAACTTGACCTGGGCACTATCCCTGAGCTCTTTAGCTCAAGCTAGTGCTCTACCACTTTGAGCCACAGCAGCACTTCTGGTTTTTTGGTGGTTAATTGGAGATAGGAGTCTCAATGACTTTTCGGCTAAGGCTGGCTTTGAACCACAATCTTCAGATCTCAGCTCTCCTGAGTAGCTAGGATTACTGGCGTGAGCCACCGGTGTCCGCTAAGCTAAACTTATTTAAACTTAAGTAAGCTACATTTCTATTTTTAGTGTCACTTTCAGATTTTCTTTCTTTTTCATAGCAACAGAAAAGGGTCAAAAGCCATGTTGAATGAAGTATTCTAAAGAAAAATTAATTCAGGCCAGGCACCAATGACTCATGCCTGTAATCCTGGCTACTAAGGAAGCTGAGATCTGAGGATTACGGTTCAAAGCCAGCCCAGACTCTTATCTCCAATAAACCAACAGAAAACTGGAAGTGGCACTATGGCTCAAGTGGTAGAGCACTAGCTTTGAGCTGAAAAGCTAAGGGACAGTGCCTAGGCCCAGGGTTCAAGCCTCACAACCCAGTCTGAAAGGGTAAAGTGATTAGATTTGAGAGTTAAAGTTACCATGTGAACTGAAAGTACATCTAGTTCTCTAAAATGTTTTTAAATAGCTGGGCATGGTGGAACATGCCTGTAATCTGAGCACTTGGTGGCCCAGTTATAAGGATATAAGGCTCAAGTGGTAGAGTGCTAGCCTTATGCAAAAGAAGCTCACAGACAGTGCCCAGGCCTTGAGTTCAAGCCCCAGGACTGGCAAAACAAAACAAAACAAAAAACCCACAAAGAAGTCTAGGCCAGTCTATGCTTCATAGCAATATTCTGTGAAGTAAAATAAAATGTATCTTATGTTTGTTTTGTTTGCTAGCAAATAAAACATTTGATATATTTACCCCCCCCCCCGTGTCTCTCCCACCCAGGTTTCCAGTAAGTACTTTTTAAAAAAGGAAAAAATAAAAAAGGAAAAAAAAAAAAACCTTTGCATTCAAAAATAAATCTTACAGGGTGATGGTGGCTCCTGAATAGGAAAGCATGGTTCAAAGCCAGCCTGGGCAGAGAAGTCAATGAGATACTTGTCTCCAATTAACCACCAGAAAAATGAAAGTGGTGCTGTGGCTCAACGTGGTAGAGCACTAGCCTGGAGTGTAAAAGCTCTGGGGCAGCGCCCAGTCTGAGTTCACGAGCAACAAAATATCTTCCAGAATTTTAATAAAATGTTAATAAGAGGGTTGGGTTGTAGCTCAGTGGCAAAGTGCTTGCCTGGTAAATGCAATGTCCTGGGTTAGATCTCTAGTACCAAAACAGAAGAGACAAAAAAACCCCAAACAGTTAACATGCTAATAAGAGCCAGATGTTGATGGTTCGTGCTTTTTATCCTAACTACTCAAGAGGCTGAGATCTGAACATTCCAGTTTGAACCCAGCCCAGGCAGAAAAGTCCTGATTTCCAATTTACCAGCAACAATCTGGAAGTGGAGCTGTGGCTCAAGTGGTAGAGAGCCAGCCTTCCAGCCTGAGTGAAAATGCCCAGTGAGAGAGCAAGACTCTTAGTCCAAGCCCAAGTACTAGACAAAAAAAAAAATGCTAATAAGAAAAATATTAACTCAATAGACATGATGTGGAAAATGAATTATGCAACCTGTGGACAGAGACGGGAGGAGGTAACTGGGGGAAAGCGAAGGAAGGTGTGGCATCGTCCAAAAAAGAAATGTACTCATTACCTGACTTAAGAAATAGTAACTGTCAGTATTATGCGCACTTTTGGTCCTCAGCTCCACCCAGACCTGGGCCCCCTCCCATTCCTGGAGTTCCCACTAAACAGCTAGCCCCACCCTCTCTCCGCCCAGATCCACCTCACTTCCTACCCCCAGGCTGCTACCTGGATAGGGATAGGTGCCATGTGCTCCCTCTGGGGGGAAATATGGCTCCTCTAATAAACCTTATCATTCTCCTGTGCCTGCCTCTGCATGGTCCCCTGGGATGGGTGTGTGGGACCCTTCAGTAACTCCTCTGTATGCCACCTAAATAACAAGAAAATTAAATATGTTTAAAAATATTGTTTAGGGGCTGGGAAGGTGGCTCAGTGGTAGAGCGCTTGCCTTGCATGCCTGAGGCCCTGGGTTCGATTCCTCAGCACCACATAAGCAAAAAGAAAA